AGCAGCCCCAGGGCGGGACCCCCGGGATCCCCCAATCGCGCGTCTGAAAGGGCGGCTGTCCCGCGCAGGTGGCAGTTCTCGTCAGAAGGCTCGGACATCGGTTTTGGAATTTTCCTGAAGACCAAGATGGGGGAGCGGCAGAAGGCGGGGGAGATGACGGAGGTGCTGCCCAACCAGAGGTACAATGCGCACCTGGTGCCCGAGGACGGGAGCCTCACCTGCAGCACCCCTGGCATCTGTAAGTGTCCCTGTCTTGGCTTGAAGCCCCTGCCCTTGATGCCTGCCAGGGAGGCCCCTCTCCCCGCCAGAAACGTCGGCTCTCAGGCTGTTAGAACCGCAAGCGGAACTCCCATCCGCGCAGGTGGGGAGACGTAAGACTCGGGCAGGTGGCCTGACTTGCTCAATGGCGGGGGTTAATAGCTGGTTAATCGCAGGGTGGGACTCTCACCCGGTCCGAGTGAGAGTCACAGAGCTGGGTGATGACAGGGGACTGTATCCGCTCTGGTCCAGGTGTAACCGGGTTGTGACTGCGATCAGACACCTCTTGGGAATTCTTCCCCACGCGTCAGAGAGGCAGGACGGGCTGGCGGGGTGTAGGGGGTCACCGGGTGAGCAGGGCCCCCGAAAGCCCAGCCTTGAGCCCTCGGGGCGTCACCCATCTCCAGGCGGCACAACACGTGAACAGGAAGTTTTAACTCAAGAGGAGTAAGAATGGCAGATGGGCATTTGAAAAGCTGAGCTTGGCGGTATCCATCAAAACTCCCTTGGACTCAGCAATTCTACGTCTAGAAATTTCAGCCTACAGAGCTATCTACACAAAGACACAAAGACGTAGGATGTGCTTAGCAACCTGGAGGCTGGCAACACATTACATGGCCTCAGTAGGGTCTTGTTAACTTAATTATGGTCCATCCACACAGTGCAGTAGAATATACCCGTTAATGAGACTAAGTTGACGTGTAAGATGTCTGGTACATGTTTTAAGAAAATAAAGCGTGAAGCATAGCATATGCGGTACACACGTCGGTTAATAAAAAGTGTGTACGTAGGAAAGAATTCTGGGGAATCTATGCTGATGCTCAGGTAGTTATCTCTGGCCTGGTGGGAAGCTTAGAGAGAAGCATTCATTTTTTACCACCACGGCAGGTCCTCGGATAACGTCATTTGTCCAATGTTGTTTCATGAGAATGTTGGTAAGAAAAAAAAAAATTAATTCCCAGCGGGGGCCACTGTCTGTGTGGACTTTGCACGCTGTCCCCATGTCTACGTGAGTTTACCCACATTGCGAAGGTGGACACGTGAGGTGAGTGGTGTGTCTCAATTGTGCCAGGGGAATGAGTGTGTGTGAATGTGCCCTTCGTTGGAATGGAGTTAGCTCACGCCATGTGCCCTGGGCTGGGGAGAGGCTCTGGTCCCCAGTGACCCTGAACTGAAATGAGCTGGTTGGAAGATCATTATCTTACTTTATTTTTATTAATCTTTATATATATATATATAATTAATTAATTTCATAGAAGGGAGAGGGCGAGAGGAATAGAAACATCAATGATGAGAGAGAATCACTGATCGGCTGCCTCCTGCACGCCCCCTACCGGGGATCGGGGCTGTAACCCGGGCATGTGCCCTGACCGGGAATCGCACCGTGACCTCCTGGTTCATAGGTTGATGCTTAACCACTGAGCCACGCCGGTTGGGCTATTCATCTTTCTTGAATGTGTGTATAGCTCATATTTATTTCAATGTTTGTGTAATATTAGAAGTGGCTGGGGTATTTATTTTGGAATGTCGGTGTGTTTTTTTTGTGACCAGAAACATGCCGTAGAATCTATATCAATGCGTCTATGGTAGAACTGGTTTCCTTATACGTTGTGTCAGAGCTCAGGGGTTAGGCGTGGAAAATCAGTGAGTTAAAGCTGACAGCTAACTAGTCCTCAAGCAAGTGACTCAACCTTCCCGAGCTTCAGTTTCCTGATGGCCAGGGCGGGGATGCAGTTCTCTGCCTCAGAGGGGCCCATGGTGGTTACGTGTGATGAGGTCGTGGTAGCGCTTAGCGCGATGACGGGCACACACCAAGCCCTCAACACACTTCAGCCACTGTGGTCGTTATCTGGGCAAGACCTGGGGGAGAAGGGCCGTCCTGGAGACGGTGCCGCAGGTGGGAGGAGCCCTGGGCTCCATCTCCATAGCAGCGCCACCAGGATCTCCGCCTGCAGCTATCCTGGCCTCTGTGCTTGGCTACACCAGCACCCCAACCTCAGATTCTGTACAACCTCCCACATCCCAGGCAACTTCCAGTCTCTGCCGCCACCTCCTCACAGATGCTCTGTGATACAGCTCCCCGGGGAGGAGAGTATTCTTGTTAGTGAGCAGCTGGGTCCCG